ACTGACATATATCAGGCAAAACGGCACTCAAATATATTACATGGTATAAGCATTATGTATGTGAGTAATAATATTAATTCTAATAATATAAGTTAAATATATACCCATTAACAGCATTCATAATTTACACATAAAAATCATTAGAATCATGCGGTCGGTTGATTTATTCAAATCAGAAAGGGGAAGAATCTACAAAAATTACAACTCCCACAACGGACGTTGCGCTCTTAAGAATATCCAAGATCAATTCTTTTCAGCACGCTTCCTTATTTGATTAGAACTCAATTCCTTCCCCGGCCAGCGGGTCACATGAGGTTCCAGTCAAGTGATATGGAAGCCCAACTGAAATCAGATTTCTTCTCACTGAACAAGCTGAAGATGATGGAAAGCCGCTGTCAAGGATTGACACGATGACACGAGTGGACTCTCAATATAGCAATGTTTGTAAATTCGACAACAATGTTTGATGAAACGCTCAATGAAACTGACGCAAAATGCATAAAACATAAATGAAATTTTGATAACGAAAATAAACAAAAAAATTCGAGCAAATCACAGACTTTCTTTGGCAAGATGAAATTAATTCAACAATATAGCAATGTACCAATAAATGAACATTCAAATACACAACTTCAAATAATAAATTTATAACTAATCATATTCACAGTCCCTTCGCTAATTCACAAACCATTTGACTGATATTCTTATTAATTAATACTCGCTTAGTTATNAGGTATTACTCGTTCATGTGGCATAAGCAATAATCAATACAAACGATAACGTAGCTTCGGCTCGACGATTGTTACCATTTCTCACACAACATTAATAACCACCATATCACTGTACTTATGATTAATCTCTATTGGAGAGATGACTGACTGCAACAATATGGACAGCTATTCTACGCATAATGTATGATAATTGATTCATAATGACGCAAACTGTCAACAACAAAATCAGAAATTACATAAAAGAAAAAGGCACAATCGAACTGATTATGATCTTATTATATGTCACACAGAAACTGAGCTTGAACCCACCAAGAATATATGAAAATACAATCGACGATAGAAATCTGACCACATCTAAGATTCGTGAAAAACAAATCATAAAATACAAAAACAATTAGACTGTTCCCAAACAAGATGTAAAATCGAACATCCTTGAATGAGACATCATCATCACTAACAATATGTATTTACATATGCAATGTGAGTGAGCACTTTTGGAAGGATTACGATTATTTATAATACTTTGGAACAAAAACAGAACTGAAAAATAAATATAATGAATAGTTATCTGTGATACTCTGAATATTTGCAACAAAAAAACAACATCACTTGTGACTCAACAGAATATTCAACTAAAAACAGCTGCACTCCAGTTTAAATGACTTATTTACAGTAATGGTTGCACGCAAAATGAAGTGAAGAAGCGTAAAACAGACGAAGAGTACTCACGACGACAGAACGCTGAATGAGAAATTTTTTAAATGTTGCAGATTCTAACGATCCTCAGAAGGTGAAATGTGAATATGAAACGGTCGACTCTTTACTTGCATGTGATATATAAACGCTGATGCGCTAAAAGTCGTACTGACGGCTAGGTGAGGAGCTCAGAAATTGCGTTGTCTTCTTGCGATTTCCTTTGAGATTTCTCGTCGGAATCGTTCGTATTTAATAACTACATCGATCACTTCTTGTTTATATAATTTCATGAATTGGCGGTCGTATTTTTGCAATTGTTCCAAACGGAACATCGGCCACTAAAACACTGAACATTCAGTACAGAACATTCAAAAATCAAACTACAAAGACCAATGTGTAGAACGAAGAACGAAAGCAGTAAGCAAACAAACCTCAAGAAGATAATCCAGTTCCATCGGAGCTCTTGAATACAAATGCAACCATTTGGGAATGTCTACAAATCTGAATACTTTCATGAAAGGACATGAATCAGTTGAGAACATTTGTTATTATCAGAAAATTGACTTCATTACAAAAGCGTATCACATAACTGCATTCCTACAGTGACCATAACCTCCATTAAAATGAAATCTGCACACAAATGAAGAAGCATACCCTCATTGATAATGTTCAGGTTCTCGATGGTACTCTCAGCGTGCTGCTGTTGAGAAAGACGTGAAACGGCGGGCTCGTTTGAATGAACAACGACTGGTGTGGCTAAACCGGGATGATCCAGCTGTGAACGACCTTCTATCTCACTAAAATTTTATTACTTACAATTTTATCGACTTTAGCGCTTTGACTCACCACTGAAACAACCCATCCAATAGATACGGAATTATGCCTGCACTGATTTTTGACTATTTCGTAAACATTCCAAAATGGGGACAAAATGAGCAAATCCACCCGGAAACAAATTGAATAATTTCTCCGATTCCAGTAACTGAGAGTTTGAATGAGGAACATGCAGTGAAAGCAAATGGACGTCAAGGAAATACTACTCACTTATAATAAACGACTCCGTTCGCAGTGTCAAACTGTTTAATCCATCCAGGTGGCAAATTCTCGTTAACCAACGGATGTATCCAATGAGTGCGTCGGGTATTGTGATCAACATAATATCTTCAAATACAAATGCATTTA